TATTTTAATTCATATATTTGTAATTAATAATTTAAGAATTCATAGCATTTTTATATATATTTTATTTAAAATCTTTTAATGATAATATATTATTCTATTCATTCATACATTTTAGTCTACATACAAACTCTTTTTAATTGCCTCGATTAAATATAATTATCTCTTTTGCCATTTCGCTCCAGAAAATATGCTATAAAATGCAGCTTAAATTGTTTTTAAATCAAAACTAAATTTCTATTTGAGCAAATCTCTACGTAAATCACTTTTTAATTACTAAAGTGCTATTCACTATATATGTATATGTATATATATATATATATATATATCCTCCCAAGACGATTAGCCCACCCTTTTGGAGCGGCAAAACGGCTTTTAGACTCTTAGCTGACGTTAACAAGCTGCGCTCTCGGGCCAACTACTTGGACATTGATAGCCTTAACATGGCCTTATTAAAATCGCCTGCCATGACGGATTTATTTTTAATGAGTCTGGACTAAGCAAAAGTTAATGAGCCTCGAGCCAAACAAACCGCCCAGCCATGAATGCGATGATGTACAAATCTTTCACGTGCGTGGCAAATAAATCATCATTGCACGAAAAACCAACAAATACAATTGCAATATTCGTTGGGGTTTCCAAAGCCTGACAAATGAGCGAATGTATCAGAGAAGCCCCGTACAAGGACATAGGATATTAACGTGTGTTAACCACCCCCAATTCTGTGTCCCCCCCTAGCATTCTAGACAAATGCATTAAGTCCCTGAATATAACTATATAAACTACAATACAGTCCCTGATGATGCTGCTGCTACAGTTGCTGCTGTTGTTGTTGTTGTTGTTAATGTTGCTGCATTGGCGTCAAATTTGCTGCTTCATTTATAAGGATTACAGCCCTTACAGTAAAAACTCATAACGAAATTACTTGCAGGAAATGCAACAAGCTCAATGGCCCAGCCATGAGTCGCAACTCTGCTCTAGCATCAGTATTATAGCCACCCCTAAGCGTCTTCTATTTAGCAGGGGTAGCATTTCTAGCTGACTTCTTGGCGCTATCCATTGACATGCCTTTGTTAAGGAGAGAACACGAATTATGCATTAGTTTCAACTTGTAGCGCATGATTAGATGTTTTCTTATATATATTTTGCCATTTCCTTTACGGATTTGAGGGCTGCTGCTGGACTGACCCAAATGTATGCGCTAGAGAAATTGCGTCTGTAGCAAAATTATATAATATTGAGCTCGAGAAGATGTCGGGCACAAATTAATTGATTTTCGTAGAGGATAAGTAGGTAATGCATCTTAATAGGTTATTAAAGTGAAATTCAAGTCAAATGGAAAGTCAAACTAATTGAAATGTAGTTAACATTAATGAGAATTGTTTAAGCAAAATGTATATTATCTATGATGATTGTTATTTTATATAAACTTATTATTTTATATTAACGTAAAAGGTATTGAATCTAATTATTTGTATTATTATTAGTATTAATATTAATTTTATAAAAAGGTTTTTTAAATGCTTATTTTAATGTAAATTTAAGTGATTATTATTATTATTTTTAATTTCTTAAAAAAAAAATTGTGATATTTTCCTTTATCTTAGTTGGTAAGATCAAAGTAGAAAATATAAGCGAACGCCAGCAAGGTGTGAGGCAATATAAGTGAAAGAAACTAAATTTTTAAAAACTAATTTTCGGTCAGAGTCAAGAGCGACTAATTAAATACCAAATCTTTAATATCAATAAATAAAATTTAATTACTACTTGCTATTATGAGTATTTTTTATTGCTATTAATACTATTGTAAATGTGTTTACTCGTGAAATCAACCGAATCTTGGCTCTGTCTATCTCTCTCTCTCTCGGACTCTCTGAGCAAGAATCGTCGGTTCATTTCTTTTTAGTTTTCGATTGAGCGTTTTGAGTTAAGGTTTACGTACAATAAGCGGAAACACAATACAAAGTTTCAGCCCGATCGTTAACGAAGTTTTGCTCTCAGTTGCTCTTGGACTTTTCTTTTACAGTAAAACACATTTATTTGCGGACATCGAGAAACGGTCAACGGGTTTTTGTAAGCTATGCTGTTATATTATATACTATATTATTGTACATTTCCTCATAATTTATAATATTTTATTACATTTATTAGTCTTTACCTTAAATATGCATATCTACAACTTTTGATACATCCGACATAAGTAAAGCACAAGAAACATTATGGTTACATTATGTCTATAACTCAATATATATTCTCCATATAACACTTACATAAATCTCAATCATAATAGATTTTAATTAGCCTCTGCCCCACCCAATTGATTTGGGGCACTCATACTTTCAGCCATAACTTGGGCAACTGTCAAACAATTCATGTACTTTCAGACCGAGCAACTTTTATTTTTGGACACTATGAAGACAACCCTGAAAAAAAAAAAAACAACAAACAAACAACGAGAAACGCCCCTTTCCAGTTAGCTAGCTTTTTAATAAATATAAAGCGTTAATTTGCTGCATAATTGCGCCGTGCCACGCCCACTCGCTGCGTGTAGACCCTTCGTGTCTGGCAGCTCGTTTGCTCCTAGTTAAGTAGCACAGCCTCCCACTCCTTCGGCTGTCTCAAAGACAAGCAGCCGTCAATGGCAGCACCACGCCCCTTTACGTTGGGCTTGCCTCCCCCCTTTCTTATGTCTTCAATGACAGTTATTTCATTTTTCTTGTTGATGTTTTTCCCTGCACTCATTAAATCAAGTTAAAAAGGCATATAGCACCCAGTTGTTGTTGTCGTTGCTGTTGTTGTTGTTGGCCTGTTTCCGTTGTTAGCCAAGCTGTTGAACTTGTCCTGGATATGCTCCTGGTTTGGGCTTCTCGTTTTCTTGTTGCCTACGCCATGTACTTGCGGCCATGTCGAAGACAACGCACAAAATTTTCAAATAACATTTTACACAGCCCTCAGCCCCTCCCATGCCACAAAAAAGTCGAGATACAGAAACAGGAGTGGAAAAAAGCAAGGACATAATGTCGCACTCTGGCTAAGACTGTACACGACTTGGCTTTAATTATTGTTGATAACTTGGCGCACAGGGCGTTGGGCTTTAATGTCCTAGCCGCAAAATGTAACGGCTGAGAGCCAGTGACAAGACTCTGACACAAATTTCAATTGCGCATCTGTCTAATTGGAGGGAGCTAGGAGCGGGAGTCAGGAGTCAGTTACTCAGCGGAGTCTACATGTATTTGCTTTTGGCAAATTATGCGTATTAGGCATATGGCTCAAACGAAAATGAAACCATATGAAGTTATCGTAACGAGGTATATATACATTTCAGTATGTTGATAAAATATTAGTCATAGGCAATGTTTACTAATGCACTGCGATGGATGTTTGATTAAAGGAAATATATTGTACATAAAATATAAAAATCATATATCGATTAAAATATGGTTATTTAATACGATATTCAAAGCAGATGGGCTGCCATTATTATATATAAATATTTATGTAGAAAACTCTTCTAAAAAAGCTTAAAAACTTAATGAAGTAATCCGATTTAAATATTTGTGCTTTTTGTGAGTATATCTGTTTCTCTCTGTTCCCTGTTTTTCACACAGTCTGTCCCTCCATACACTGTCTGCCTAAGAAATGGAAGTAATGAAGAATAACTACAGAAGATCATTTAAGCTCTCTTAATTTTAAGTTCTCTTTGATGCAGCAGTGTTCATTTCGTATTTATATTTGAGTAAAACGAAGCTAGAATGCTCGCAGCAACAGAGAGTGTTCCCATTGCACTATAGGAAAAAAGCCCGAAATTTTGGCATCAATTCTAAAAATAGAGCTAGGAGGTTGAAATTTTACATACACCTAAGATAGACTAAGTTAGAATTTCGAATTTTTTTTTTTTACGATTTGACCACGCCTTCTCCCCGCCTCCTTGTTACCCATTAATGAAATCATGTGTACTTCAGACATAAATTTTTTAAATATATTATATATATCTTACATTACATATTTTCATATAAAAATAAATGTGTACAGCTTATTATATAATAAAAAAATTAAAATGTGTATTTTCATTCCGTTGATACCCTGTAAAATTAAGAAAAATATGAAAAAAAAAAGTTGTATTTTTATTTTACAATAATTACCACATCTCCAAAAATTAACATCAATAATCATAGTTAAGATATTTATTATTGGAAACTAAAAAAAAAAGGTTAAAAATTGATAAAAAAAAAATTGTATTTATGCCAAAATTTCGGGTTTTTTTCCTATAGTGCATTGGTCATTTTACTCTCGACTGCAACGACCTTTACCCATTGGTCACTTAAAACTCGATCTCTACCTGGCGTAAGGCTCAACATTTGAGAGCGACTTTGTGCTTGAGTGGGAGTCGGCCTATATAAAGGGCAGCAGCTGCAGCATTTCTTCAGTCGCCCAGGCCTAGTGGGGGTCAGTAAAGTGAATTGAGATGGTTCAGCTAAGCATTAGCGGCAAAGGAAATACTTAGCGGAAATACACAGAGGAAATACCATGAAGGAATACTTAGAGAATATTTGTAGAGGAAATACTTAGAGGAAAATCTTTTAAAAAATATTTATAGCAAATACTTAGAAGAAATACTTAAAGGCAATTTTAGAGGAAATGAAAAAAGGAAATACTTAGAGGAAATACTTGCGGCAAATACTTGGAATCAATTCTTAGGGGAAATGCTTGGAAGAAAATTCTATTTATTTAATATTCAAGAGATTATTGATTTGTACTCCTAAATATATGTTGATTTTCATTATCATTATTATTATTATGACTTCTCGAATATATTTTGTAACATATATTATAAAAATCCACGATTTTATTTTTTTCTGCTGATATAAAATATTAATTCGTTAATAGCTTTGGTTTATAACATATGTAAAAATAGTATGTCTTACTTATATTAATACTGATCAGTAAGATTATTTAAGATTTTTAGTCACCACTTTAATTGAGTATTAAAAAAACAAATAAACTTCACTTTTCGACTATAATTTATTCACATACATTATTCTTAAACACTCTTCATATTACACAAATTTTGAAATTTCATAAAGAAATGGAACGTTATAATATAACACAGCCGGCCTCTTCCGCCACACAGCAGGCGCCCAGCAGCAGGCAGCATTCCATTTGCTCTCTTGTGGGTCCATTGTTCTCCTCCACATAGATCGTTTGAGGCTGCGTGACAACTACGGTTGGCTGCGTGTAGGCTGGTTGCGGCACGACCTCTATGACCTCGACTGGCGGTGGATAGAATGGATCGATGACATCCACTTGGTAGCCCGGGTTGTACATGATCTTATTTGTCGTTTGACTCCGGCGAGTGGGCAACTAATTTAATTGAATAAAAGTTATTTTGTGCGTCGCAATGACTCGTTTTAAACTAAAATTCTATTTCGCTGACAGTTTGTTTTGGGTACAATTTTCGCACTGAATACATATTTTTTTTATTTTATCATAAGCTTCAAGCATTTGATCAATGAGCTCTGATAATAAAACAGTTTTGTGTAAGTGTCAGAAAAGTAGAGACATAAGGCACCGTGTGGCAATTTGATTAGAAATGAAGGAAACTACACATTATGATTTTCATTAATTTAAATTAAATTATTCACATTCAGACTTAGATTTGTAAAATGTACCTGTTTATTGAATTTCTTGTTTTTTGATAGCGTTTAAATAATGACCATTTTTATTGATTTTATTCTAATAATTTCACTTTTAAGTTACTTAAAAGAAATAGTATATAAATATGCAAATTATTAAAAACTAATACTTAATGTCAATTTTATTTCTTAGATTATTTTATTATTTAATCTACTCATTACACAGTATGAATTAAACTGAAAATGCATATTTAGAGTTAAATAATAAAAAAAAACATATTAAATTTTATTTTAAAAATATGAATGCTCAAAATTTATAATTACCATTTATCTTATTTAGTCATTATTAAATTAATTTTAAAATTCCATTTTGAAGAAAACAGACGTCCAAAACTATTATATATTATATTCAATATGTAAGAAAAATGTATAAATAAATATTTGATACACTTCAGTTTTGACTTTGCATTAAAAATCAATAATTTATAAATAAAATATATAATATATAATGAATAAATCATTAAATATATCAAATCAGTTCATAGCTAATCATTCACTATGAACGATACTTGGTTAAACTATGCTCGAATACCTACTTTCATACTAGAAAATAAAGTGCAACAGTGCGTATACGTGCTATGATTTTAGCCAATCTGAAATTAGGTACATTTCCATAATTGTATCTATCTATTTTTTATAAATTGATGATTTAAACATGTATGGCTATCTCCACCACTGTTCGGTGCCTCGCGTGCAACAGTGCGTATGAGTAATATGGTTTGGGCTATAGATAAACGGCAAGTGGAAAAAAAGTACACATAAATTACGGTGAATGGGTGAACCAGCAACCCACAATGCCACCACTCGCCCCACCCAGTCGAACCCTTGTCAAAGCTGCTGCTAAAAAAAAAAAAAAAAAACGAAAGAAAGTGAAGAAAACTGAAGAAACTTTTAGCTGTGCGGTTGCAATACGCATAGATCTACCAAAGAACTCACATAAAATGTTTTATCAAATGGCAGCAGGCGGCACTTTTTGACACATTTTCGCTTTTATTGGCAAATTGAAAAACATATATAAATAATAACTGCGAATGCGAACTAAGTTTTCCACTAGCAAGTTTATGTACACCCATACATATATACGTATTTGTAAGCTATGTCAAAGGGTTGCCATAAGGCCGCTCATAAAACTACAAATTTTTGCGGTTTGTGTGAGTGCTGGTGTGTGTGTGTGTTATTAAATTTGGCTTTTTATTAGAGCAGGCCAGAAAAACATTCGAGATTTATGCAAGACAATGTGCTGCCCAAGTGTTCAACCACAGCCCCGTGTACCGCACAGAAAACATTATTTATAACAAATCGTAAAATTTTATTGCACGAAAAAAGTGTGTGTTTGTGTGTGTGTGTGTGTTTGTGTGTGTGTGAGTGTGTGTGCTTCACAAGCCATAGAAACTTAATTTAACGTTAAGCATTAAAGGATTTGCAGCGCCTTTGTTTGAAGTTCGTATTGTTGTGGTCGTTGTCAAATGTTGTTGTTGTTATTGTTGTTGCTCTACATTATCGTGCAACAGCAACAACAATCGCCGCAGCTAAAGCAACAGGGACAGCAGGGGCAGCAGCAACAGCCCTTCTCCTGGGGCTTTGGAGGCTGGACAATAACCGTTGTTGGGCCCGCCGGTGGGGGCACATTTACCACCTCAACACGTGTGCGATCCATACTAAATTTTTTTTTATTAAATAACTAGTTAGCTGCGATCAAGTTGTTCGAGCTGCGACTTGTTGCACGTTACACGGACTGTGCCCTACTACTGTATAATGCCAGATCGCCCTATTATTGTATTCACTCAGTGCCAATCTGTGGACAACGTTCTCCACGAGTATACGCAAGAGTGCGGGTGTGTGAGTGTGTGTGTGTGTGGGTATTGCAAAAGCAAAATAGTCTTATCTGTAGATAAAACACTATCACGCTCTTATTATCTCCGCTGGCCCGAGCAGGTGAGTCGTCTTATCTGCAGCAAACACTTTGTTATAAACAAAAATATTCAAATAGTCTACATGCACGGAAGTATAACAAAAAGAACTAGTTCCAATGAATAAAATCAAATATATGATACATATATACATAATATAGTTATATATATATTTTAATTGCTTTAAATATTTGTCAAGCAAACAATAACTAAGTCTATTCACTTCACTCAACGTCATTAGAAATGTGTGAATGGGTTAATATTATCAGTTAACGCTGGAACTTTTATCAGAAAGTGAAATTGCTTTGAACAGATTTGTATTGCTGTAATTGAGTTTCATTTTGTGGCAAGAACTGATATATAATTAAAAAATAACAATAAAAAAATAACATTAAGATTAAAAGCATAAAAAGCATGAAAGCATTTTTGAGCTTTGGGAAGTAATTTTTATTTGTCTATACTTTCTAACAATCTCAATATATAAACTTTTTTGACTGCATCTTAAAATGTAAGAATAACTAAAGTCTAATATATATTTTAATCGAATTCCGAGCTATTTTAAAGAACAATGTCATTCTGATTTGGCAATTACTCGTTTTTAGGTTTGTTCTAAAAATATTGTGAAATTTAAGCTTAAATGTTGGTTTTTTAAAATGTACTTAAAAAAGTGAATATTAAATACATTTATCTGCTGGACTATTCAAATAAATATATAAATATTGGTCATATTATAGCTGTATAAATGTATGTATGTACTCAAAGACATTTTGCATTTTGTTTGCTGCTCAATAGCTAAGAAATTTAGCCACAACGTCGATAGAAAGCACCTTGGCTTAACTGGTTTTATCTTTAATAACGCAATACGCAAAACCCGAACGATTCGCATTCAATGTCATGTGTGTGTTAAAGTGAAACATATAATGGCTAATTGTATGTTATCTTATCTAATCTAACTATAAAACTAGCTAGAAGTACCAAATTTACATGCACCACCTCACATAGAGAAACCAATTTATGCAGCTGGTGTGGCGAGTCGCATAGTCATATGGGTAGGTATATCCCATTTGCCAGATCTCAATTAAAAATTGGGGTTAGTTGTGGGGGAAGGAGTTTGGCAGGGTATGTGCATTACCTTTGTGGCCCTCAATGAAATTAATAAAAATATATTTTTGAGCGCGCAATGGTGATGATAATTAGTGTACGTGATTCTATTTGCTTGGCGAGCTACAGCCGAAAAATCCCTCGAAAATGTATAAAAGGGGTGCTTTGTGCATCTGTGTGTGAGTGTGTGTGTGTGTAATATGATATGCGCGTAAAAAATATAGTACGTGTGTGCGTGACAATGGCAACAACGTGCGATGACAGGGCTGAGGACTTCGAACTGGGGATAGCATTTGGGACCTGGGTGTCAAAAGTGAAACAACGCCTGCTCGGAATTTTAAAATAAGCAAATGAGTTGGAGCCTGAAGTAAGTCAGCAACAGCAACGGCAATAACAAAAACAACAACAGTGAGTGTGAGAGAGAGAGAGGGAGCACAACAACATGGCCCATAAATATTTATAAACTTTGGCCTGTCATATAAATACCGGGTCATTAGTTGCCTGCGCACACCTTTCGCTCCAGCCTGAGCTTCAAGCCCCTTCAGGACAATAAAATCCAACTAGACGGTCATTTAAATGCTCGCGGCTCTATATGCCAATTTGACAGCAGTAGTAGCAGCTCGGTGGAGCTTATAAGTAAGCAAAGGAATTATTCAAGCAGCTAAAGATAGACTCAAGTCGGAATAACAAGCAGGAGAAATGCTAAGATAGAGATCTTGAATGAAAAACTTATATTATGTGTGTATATATTAAATATATGTATCTGTTGCTTATAATTATGTGCTTTTATAGATTGAGAACTTGAGTTTAAAATTAATATATAACCAAAATAATTAAGTAATTATATTCCAGAGATTTTATATAATTAAGAAGTTAAACTAACAGCAGTATTTTTACAATATATTTAAAAACGAATATGAATGAAAAAAGAATTTAAAAATAAATTATAAAAAAATAAAATAAATAAGAAAGAAAATAATGCAAACATTTTTTGTGTAAATTTATTTATTTAATTTCTTTTTCCTATTTTCTTATTTATTTTATAATATAAATAACATAAAGACTATTAAGAATTAAAAAAAAAAAAAAAAAAAAAAAAACATTGTACGTGGCCCCAATATAGTTATTTATTTTAATTTTAATTTTTTTTTAATATCCAGTTTAATATATAATAATAAACATATATTACAAAATGACAATATAAAAACAAGTAAGAAGGCTCCAGTCGAGACTGCTCGACTAGGAGATACCCTGAACCCTCCAAGCTGATATTCTAATCATTCTGGACTTCTTTTATTCATACATACATACACATGCACTTATAAGCACGCGCTCTGCTAACTGCGCAGTAAGCAGCGACTGCGCTGGGGCTGCGCTGCAATGTGGTCAATATTATGAGAATTTATTTGTTGAATAATTTCTTTTGTAGACGTATGATCTTAATAAAACTTTTAGAGCGTAATCATATGGCTAAAATGTGTGTACATTCCAAAGCACATGTCTCTAGTACTTGAAATTCGTTTTTTACAAATTGGAGGCGAATGGGGCGTGGTATCCAAAATCTGTAAATTACAAAATCTTTGTATCCATTAACTTTATATACAACGCAAATTTGAAGTCTCTAGGTCTAAAAGTGTTCAAATTAGGCTGAAAAAACAAAGTCGATTTTTCGATTATTCTCGATAAAAAAGTTATCGGATGAGTTATCGAAAAAATAAAGCAAACTCGTACTGCCTATGGTATACACGAGTATGCATGCCAAATTTCAGCTCTCTAGCTCTTATATCTTCTGAGATCCTTTTGCTCATACGGACGGACGGACGGACGGACGGACGGACGGACGGACGGACGGACGGACGGACGGAGGGACGGACGGACGGACGGACGGACAGACGGACAGGGCTATATCGACTCAGCTCGTCGTCCTGATCAAGAATATATATACTTTATGGGGTCTGCGATGATTCCTTCTGCCTGTTACATACTTTTCACAAAACCATTATACCCTGATTTCCCATTTTCAATGGGTTCAGGGTATAATAAAAGGGAAACTAATCGGAAATATATAACATGTTTTAATATTAAAATTAATAAATGTTATATTAAAATATAGTGTTCATAATGCAACCTGAATATACAAGTTTTTTAAAATAAAAAATATATATTTCCACAACACAAATTTCGTGAGAAAAAATTAAAAATAAATTATTTTGTATTCCTTAAACTTCAGCGCATACAAACATTTTTTGCGTAATAATTGACTTTTTACCAAGTATATATTTTCGAACATAGAGCTTCTCATTTAAAATTCAAATGTTGTACTAGTAAAAAGTCTATATAATGTAAAAAAAAAAAAATTAAAAATAATATTGCTTGTTAGAACTGCTAGCCTGAAATGTTGAGCCTGCAAATACTGAGGGCAGTTTGCGGCTGACTGTAATATACTTATGTTTATATAATTTAGCGCCAGCTTCAGCCACGCCCAGCTGCCTAGAAGGCAGCGCATATAAAAATGATAAAGCAAAATGGCGAAAAGTGGCAGTAAAAAAATAAAATGCGCTGCCGCAAAAGTGCCATTTGTGGCATAAACACATGCGCGGCAAAGTTTGATAAGACAAAAGGCACACGAGTGGGCGGCTGTCTGGCTGACTGGCAGGCTAACAGGTGAGAGCAGCGCTGTGCCGTGCCGTGCCGAGCAGGTAGGCCAAAGAGTTTGCCAAGTGTGGTGCCGCACACACTCATACACACGCACATACACATTCACACACAACAACTGCGACAACAGCAACGTGGCAATGTCCTAAGGATGAACTTCAGCGCCAACGTTGGCACCGCAATGTGCCACTAAATGCTGCCACTAAATGTGTGCCAAGTATTATTGCAGGTGCCTATCTATACATGTGTGCGTGTGCTCGTGTGTGTGTGCGAGTCTGTGTTTCTCAAGGAGCTACCTTTCAGTCGGGCTGCGCATAAAATTAGCACAATAAAAAGCCATAAATGCGACACAAAAACATGAAAATCCACTTGTTATAATTTAATCGAGTTGATAGAAATTTTACGACGACGCGTTTTTCACGTAAATTTTCCTATATATACATATATATATTATATATGTGTGTTTTTTTTTTTTTTCATTTTAAATGTAGGTTAACATAAAAGCTGTTATCACACGAGACCAGTTAATGGGCGGCCACAAAGATAGCATGGCTATAAACTAAATCTGTTTGGTTGAGCGGGACTAGAAATGGAAATGCATACGAGTCCAAGGACCTATAATTGACCTTGTGTCGGCACCTAGGCTCACAAAAGCACAGTTTTATTTCAGTTAAAATAAAGAATAAAAAGCAAGGCACGTATTTTTAAAGTGTTTAATGTGACAGAAAATACAGCCAATTTTAATTGGTTTCTTCTGTATTTTCCGTAAAATGCAAACTATTTTCCGAGGTATGAAGATTTAAAATGATATATAATTATTATGGATCCATTGATCTGTTTTCAATTTGTCATAGAAACGATCCCTCAATCCCAAAGTGCCTCTGTCGAAATGGTTTGATTTCTTTGAATCTTGTATGATTTTCATTATGTGGTAATTTACTATTAGGTTAATAATTATTTATGCTTGATAATTATTTATACTTTCAATCATCTTAAGAATAGTTCTTAATCCATATCAATCTGTAAAGAAAATGTATTGTTCAAGTATCGTTAGCTGAAATATGTTAATAAATTTCACCCACTTCCTGTCCAGAGAATATGGTTGATGCCTTGCTGGCCCTCTGGCTGGCAATCGAGCTCATCTTGCGACTGTATTCGTCGTCAGTGCATAATAGACAAACATCGATAAATCGGATGAGTTGTGGAGATTTGAGCTGTTTGGCGATCGGCAGAGCTTCTTCTAGAAGATCTTTGGTGCGCTCAATCTTATGCTGCAAAGTTGTTGCTTTGATCATTTGTATGACGCCCAGGAACCTCCAGATAAGACTGTTACAGTTTTGACTCTCTAAGGGGAACCAATGAATAATAACGATGTTTACACATAATAATATAATATGAGCTATGCGCACCCTTCATCGATCTGCGTGCATTGAAGCAGCACTCGTCGTAATGCAGCTGAGACAAATGATTGGCAGCCATCTGATGGAACAGATAACATTTCTCTATCGAAAATTTGGAAAATCTCATTCGTTTCTCCAGACGCGCTGACATTTTGCTGTATATAATAGACATATATGATAGAAAATGTCTTTTATTAAATTTTGAGCTTTACCCACCGGCATTTTCGTCCTTCGACATCCTCGTCCCCTTCCTGATACGTCGACCGATCGCCGAACACGAACGGCACAATATCTTTCACCTTATCGACGGGCAGCATCAACAATTTCAACATGGCTCTCTGCGCTACCTTAAAGTTCTTTGGCACGCGATATTGTTCGCAAAGAGCCAAAGCCAAGGTATTATAGACCTCATTGTGGAACTCGAATTTCCAGCACATAACGCGGTTCGTTTTCGTCACATAATAATCGCCCATTACTTTCTCAACATAAGCGGCAAGCTCCTATAGATTATCATATAAATATGACATACAAAATATAAAACAATATAAAATAATATATTATACAACATAAAATAATAAGGTGATTATACTAACCTTTAGGTCCTTGGCCTTTCGCAGTTTTCGTATATGCTGAAGATCGTGAATCATATTACGATGCGTCTGATATTGTATGCGGAATAGATAGGCCTCTCTATTCTTTTCCAACATTTTCTTGTCGGGGAACTTCAAGAAGCTCACATAATACTGAGGACTGCGACTTTGCAACATTTTCTGCGTGAAATCAATTATGAGTGACAACAGATTAACGCCTTATTTGATAGTAAACCTACTATAAACTGCCTTATGATTTCGTACTGCTTGAAGGCCAGGGTTTTCAGGAAGCTTTTAGAGCGTTTGCATTGATCCAAAAGTAAACTCGGATTGTTTCGCAGATTCTTCATGAAGAGAACATCATACCACGAATCGTTGAGATAGTTTTGATGTATCACATTGAAGGCACGCGCTCTGCGCGATACTTCTAGTGGTGACAAAATCTCTTCCTGAAGGCATTTCATACAGTTATTTATAGATGTATTTAGTAGAGCGTATTTAGGCTTACAATTATTTCGGGTATACTAAGCACATCGCATTTTTTCTGATCCCTCAATATTTTCCACAAGGGCCGCGTGTCAACGAACTCCTTCGCTTTGTTAATCTCTCTGACGCGTTGAATGAGTTTTCGATTTTTCATGAAGAACAAGGACATGGCACGCGATGTGACATCTTTGATGACATCGTTGACCTAAGACCTCGCATACATGGTATATATGTTACATCCCTATGTACAGTGATATCTTACCACCATGACTCGTGTTTGAAAATTCTTGGCCTTCACACCAATGAAACTTCGTATATTATCGTGCAGTTCAATCGCACTGTTCTCGAACTGGTTCAGCTCGAACAACGCATCGCAAATTTGCAAATTGATGGGACAGTTCGGACCACGCGCCACCATGCCGATTTCTGTGATCAATACACAATCAACAGTCGTCCTCGTGTCAAGTAATTATAGGAAAATATTCTACTTACTGGCAGCCAATCGTGCATCGGTCAGGGCCTGTTCGATGCGTGCAGCCTTGCGTTGCACCTGACTGCGTCGATAGAGCGTCATATAATCATAATTGTCGATATCCAATGCCTTCGTATAGTAGTACAAGGCGAAAGTCTCTCGACGTCTATTAAAGTAGTATGTGCCCCAATCTCTATAGATATCATGTTCAATTTCCGGGCTCCAATCGAACTTGTGCCACAACGGTATCGCGCCATCTAGCGTCGGGGACGGGATATAGCCCACAATTGATGTCATTTTTGCTATTGATGGTTAGATCCTTTGCAAAATTATAAAATTGTAAAGCTACAAAAAAACAATTTTAAGAAATGTTTTCTTCTGTGTTGAACTGTTTCCTTCTGTTTGTGTGTTGTTACTGAAGCTAATTCGTAGTGTAGTTCAAAGTCAAGTAATCGATAAGACAAGTCAAAGGGCTCTAGATTGAATTCAAATGAAAATATACCGTCATTTGTTAAAGTGAAGATGGAATTATATGTTGTGATATTTTCTTTTTCAAGAATGTTTCTGTGCTTTTATAGGATTGTATTTAAAGTTTCCTTATAATTAGATCTATTGGAACTGTTCATATTAATAAACATATATACAATTTTTGTTGTAATCAATGTATTGATTACTCATCTAGAGCAATCTCGTTCTCAATTTTGTATCTGTTCGGGCGTCGTCTTTTTAGATTCGGTAATAATATCTATAGACATATGACCATCAGTATGCTGTTTCAATGATTGATCTTTATATAAATTTCCATTTTATAGAATTCTGTTTACTTTGTACTGTATACTTCAATATATATTTATAAATATAAATGGCTTCTTTTCGTCTATAAAGCAATCTACTTGACCAATTTCTAAAAGAATTATATACCAAGGCATATCAAGACGCAATTTAATTTTTTTAAATCATTAATTTAATGTTTATGTTGTATGGCTTTTGGCTAGATGCCACATCTGTTACATAATACATATCTGTATTGCTTCACAAAGCAATCTAGAGAATATTAAAAAACAATATGATTTACATTTTTGTATATTTATTATTATCTTTTTTTTTGTATTTTTTAAATTTTTATTGTATTTTTTTTTTTTATTTTATTTATTTATATATATTTTTTTAATAAATTATTTTGCATTTTTGATTGTATGCGCAAAATCAATTATATGTTTATTTGGTATTAAATTTATTCCGCTTCATTACCTAGAGAATCTCCTAGGGATGCTCGGCTGGCCCGTGCGACCGCTAATGACGCTGCTTTGCGACGGAAGTCGTCGACAGCGAAATTATAGCAAGCATCTATAAATTTCATCAGTCTTGGTGATTTCAGCTGTTCGGCAACAGGTATTGCCTCGTCGGCAGCTTCCTTTGTCTTCTCTACCTTTTGCTGCAAGGCGTTTGCCTTGATTATCAGCAGCATGCTAAGGAACTTCCAGATATTGCTATTGCAGTTTTGTGTTTCTGTAAAATTATTGAAGATGTTAATAGAATTTGATAAAACATGAATGCATATTATAATATAAAAGTCACCTTTGATGGCTCTACGCGCATTTAAGCAGCATTCGTCGTAACGTAATTGGCTCAAATGAATGTCGCCTATCTGGTGGTATAGATAACATTTCTCAATCGAAAATTTGGCGAATCGAATGCGTTTCTCCAGTCGAGATATAAGTTTTCTTTGGATTGCATATTATTATCATTATTATATGGAAGCTGTTTAAGAGTCCACTGTATCTTACCTTGACCTTATTGCAACCGGATCCTGATAATCACCATCTGTATACGTTGATCGATCGCCAAACACGAATGGTGTAGCTTCCTTGAATTTGTCCTTTGGCAGCAGGAGCATTTCAAGCAATGTTATTTTCGATTTTTTGATATCCTTGGGCGCCGAATACTGCTCGGCAAGTGCAAGGGCCACGCTATTGTAGACCTCGTTGTAGAACTCAAACTTCCAGCACATAACACGATTCGTCTTCGTCACATAGTAATCGCCCATGATTTTCTCAGCATAGGAGGAAAGTTGCTAAGGTATATGTATATATGCATAATTCAAACAGATTTTAGTTAAATATACATACTTTGACTTTCTTCTCCTTTCTCAGTTTATGAATTTGACGTAAATCATGAATCATATTACGATGCGTCTGATACTGAATGCGAAACAGATATGCCTCCTTATTCTTTTCCAGCATTTTCTTATTCTTGAACTTGAGGAAGCTCACATAGTAAAGTGGACTGCGGCTATGAATCATTTTCTATAACGAGGATTGGATTTGATTTATTATATATTTAGACACTTTATGCTTAATACTGACTATGAACCGTCGAACAACATCATATTGTTTATTAACCAGTGTTTCAAGAAACTGTCTCGAATTCTTGCATTGCCTTAGCAGCAAACTGGGATTTGTGCGTAAGTTTTTCAGGAATAGAACATCGTACCACGACTCATTCAAATAAGTCTGATGGATAACATTGAAGGCGCGCTTTCGTCGAGCTATCTCCAAAGGAGACAAAAATATTTCCTGTTTGTGCATGAAAGAGCATGAAATGGATATGAAAATGGTATATACATGATAATAGTTAAGTACAAACCTCTTCATCTGGTATGCTTTGTATATCACATTTTCCTTGTTCTTTCAATATCTTCCACTTCGGACGATCATCGACAATTTCACTCGCCCTGATCAATTCACTCACGTGTCGCACCAGCTTCTGGTTTCTCAGATAGAATAAAGACAGAGCCTTGCCCGTAACGTCTCGAATTACATCGTCAATCTGTAGATAAGAGAATACACTTTTTGAATCCTTAAAACGATTTCGTGCTTTTTGTCAAACTTACCACGATGAGACGCTTCTCAAAGTTCTTGGCTTTAATACCCATGAATCGCCTTAAATTGTTATGCAGAGTGCCTTTGCACGCTTCGAACTTGTTGAGATTAAATAGACAGTCACATATTTGTAAATTAATCGGACAATTGGGTCCCACATCATTTAAGGCCATTTCTATTGAATATTCAAACGGGTGGAATATCCTGCTGTCAATTCAATATCTAGATTTACCTTCAGCTGTAATGGCATCTAGTAATGCCGCCGGAATGTCTGCTGCTTTGCCCCTGGTTAAACTACGTCTGTACATCGTACTCCAATCATCGTTTTGCAGCAACAGCGCTTGGGTCAGGTAGTAAAGTGCAAAGTTCTCGCGACGCCGACTGGAGTAGTAAGTGCCCCAATCTCTATAGATATCATGCTGCACTTTAGCGCTCCAGTCAAAGTGCATCCATGCCGGCATAGCTTCTCCCTCTCCCAAGAGGGGCACATATCCGACAATTGAGGCCATGTTTTAGGAAATTTGAGGTATCAAGCTGACAAAAAATCAAACGAAATAATTGAATTAATTTAATTGATTTCATGGACTAGATCTTATCAGAGTTGAATACTTTAATAAAAAAAAAACCTCATGTATTATGTACTATTCCATTAAACTTTTATAAAAGACACTCAGTTTAAGTTATTATCAATAAGACAATTCGCGAATCCTAATTAAAGTATTTACTTACTTTGCTAAAAATGCACTTTCATTAATTTGTACTATAAATTTGAAAAGATTCGTAAAAATGTAGGAAACGTAAAAGTGAGTAAAACAAAATAATGAAATAAAGAATTAGAAAACAGCGCTGTTGCTCTACAACAAAATCAAAAGAGAATAAATCAAAAGCGATCAAATCAAACTTGAAGAAAACTAAAACAAAAACTATGCCTACTTATAATAGCAAACAAAATCATATTTGGATATTTTATTGAGTACTTAAGAAAATCACAATAATAATAATGTATAAATGATTTCGATAATGGCAAATCGCCTTTAGCTCTTTCGAGTTATATTAACCGTTGGACTAAACTCCCTTCTATGACATCCTACCTTTATCAAAACTAAATAGATTTTACATATTCTTCATTATAATGACTCTATTATAGATTATTTTACACATTTTCAAACAAGCCAATCATATTCTATAAGAATATAATTTCATTTGCTATTTTTATTACTCAGTTACTTTGGTAGGAACGGACATTTTTAGCGTAGTTTCCCCTCACAGCAATTTATGCCATAAATTAACAGAATAGAACACTTTGAAATTGAAATCGGAAAAGATCGGTTGAGTTTTACCTATGAAGAAAATTGTATATAGAGTTTTTATAGAGTCTAATGAAACTTCATGGAATAATTTGTATTGCAAATATATGTATAACAACATATAAATATTGTATAACATACATACAATGTAATTCATCAATCTCTCAATTTATACCTATTATATTATATTATTATATTTTTCGAATGACTTCATATAGGAAAGTTCTGTCCGATTGCCATCGCATTATTTATTTAGCCATAAATGTAAACTTTTGAAATAAACGAGCTTTGATTAACGTTAATAATATAATTGCACCTCAATTCGTTTTACAAGCTGTGTGGACTGCGTGTTATGGGACAAGCGTGCACGGTTTCCGTTTCCGTTTCAACTTTGAATTCTGTCACACTTCAAATAAGCACCTTGCCATGCAAACCAAACATATTATTATTAATAATACTGAAAAAAAAAAACACACACACACTTACACACTCACAAGTGAAAGAAAGAGAGTAATACTAAACCGCAACTCATGTGACAGAAGTGGCACAAACACACACATGAGCCACCGAAACCACCGTGCCACTGTGCCAGCAATAGGCTTTACAATCATAATTGTGCATGCCCAGTGGCTCAGCCAAGTGTAAGAAATCACTTAAAACACACAGCCCGGCAGAGGTTTCAGTTAGGGATTATATACAGCGAGCCGCCCATCCCCCCATCGCTCTAATGGTAAAATTTCAGCCACAAGAGCGACCACAAAAGGCCAATGATAAGTGTTAAGAGTCGTAGGCGTAGGCAACTCAACGCGCACATAAATCTAATGTATAATAAATTTAAATAGCGAATTCATGCAAAATGGCAACTCGAGTGTGACCAGACCCCTCCAAGGGGTCCGCCCACTTTTTGGCTGTCTCACGCACACACACACACACACACAGCTAAAGTGGAGGCCGACAATGACTACACTTTAGCGGCAAATTTGTGCGCATTGTCGCCGTATTATTTGCTATTATTTATGCCTTTTCCACTATTTACTTCCTCTGTTTTTTTTTCCATTAATATTATATTGTTGTTGTTGTTTTTGCTGCTGCTCACACGCCATTGTGTTAGTATGCAAAAGTGGACGCGAACCACTCCCTATACAGTGTCTAACCGCAGCTTGCCATGGCCAGAGGCGTAGACAGAAATTCGTTTAGAAAAAGGGGCCTAAGAGAGGGAGAGAGAGGGAGAGAGAGTGAGAGTGAGAGAGAGGGAGAGAGAGTGAGAGTGAGAGAGAGAGAGAGCAAGCGGGAGACTTACATATATCTTTGTATTTAAAGTGCTTTCTGTATTCGCCCTAGGAGATCAAAACATATTGTATTTAAATTGTATGTTTCATAGGTCTGAATGAGTAAAAGTATAGAGCGACGCATAAGTTCAAGTCCTTCTGTTATTATTGCAAAAACAAAGCATGAATTCTAAAATAAATATTATAAAAAAATTATACTGAGTCTACTAATAATAAAGTTATATCAAAAAATATATTAAATATGCAAACATATTATTAAATAATAAATAAATTATATATAGAAAAAATTGTACTGAGTCTACTAATAATAAAGTTATATAAAAAAATATATTAAATATGCAAAAATATTATTAAATAATAAATAAATTATATATAGAAGAAAATAAATTATGAGAGATGAAGATAAAAGACAAAAGATAGTGAGTGGAAAATAATAGGAAAAAGAAAGGAAATAAATTTAAGATAGAAAATGAAATATTGAGGTTAAAAAATAGGACATATAATAAATAATAAAGACGATAAAAGATAGTAGATAATAGACAATGTTCTTGACTATCACGTATAATCTATTGTTGCATATTTATATTTCAAGGAAGTGGCCTACAAAAATGCATTATATTGTGAAAGCCCTTCTCAAGTGTAATATAATTGTACTATATGAGTATATATTTCCCTTATATCTTAATTTCCATTCACTTGTCTGGGAAAAGCACTTTGTATGTCGGACAATCCCCTGCGTGCGTACGCCACTGTCAGCGTCCAGTGGCGTGCTAAGGATTTGCTCGCGTGGATTTTAAACATTTTCACACAACATTCTCATATTTAGACGGCACACATCAGCGACAGTCGAAAGCCAGTGCCCTGTTACCCCAACTGCTCAGAAAGTTGGCGGTAATGTAAGCTCCATAAGCCAAATAAAGGACACACACTAATAGCATGCAACACACGCGACCAAAGCGCCCCGAAACGTAAATCTGTGAAATGTAATTGTTGCCATGAAGAAAACGCCAGAGCCAAAGCCCGAGCTCGAGCTGGAACTCGAACTAGAACTCGAGTATGGCAAACTCAACCCCACAAAGAACTCAACCCACGGGGAGACCCAAACCCTGAGCTAAGGGCATTTTAAGTAAGTTTTGCTGGCACTCTGTGCCATATTCGCATTTTGATAATCGTTGGGCCTCCATCGCACTGCCTGCGCTGATATACAAATTGGCTTTTGCAATGACTTTATACATTTTACGAGCAACAGCCATTCGAGTGGGTTTTCATATATATATATATATATATACATTTATATATATATGTATATAAACTTTTTTTTTTGGGGGATTTTATCGGTTTGGTTCTCGTTCTTGTGCTGCTGGCTTTGAGTATGTGGCACACTCTGATGCGATTATAAAGGCTAAATTGATGCAGATAAAATTAATTGAATTCAAAAAGCCAAATCCGCTGCCCTTTTTTGGTTTCTTCCACTTTTTCCTACTTATTCCTTCAAAGTTTTTTTTCTCCTATTTAGTTGGCGAGTTTAACAAGTGGGTCGAATTTTTTTTCTTCTATTTTTCGTTTGCTTTTTCGATAGTTTGGCTAGTTAGTTTGGTTAGGTCATGCGAGCACAAGTCCTGAATGCGCACTCAATCGCTGTTAGATACGCATATGTGCTGCATGCTTAGGGGAAGTTACCTATCAAATAGAGGAAGCGAAGATAAATTTAAATTATCATTATAATATGTGTATAGAAAATTTAATTATATAGCTGTCATATAAAGACTTGCAAATATGTCGGGCTTTTGTCTTTATAGCTATTTAAAGCATTATGAGAACATTGATAAATCGATGATAATTGCCAACCCACTTCACCTGTAAATTTACCTTAAAGTTTATCTGTACAAGTTCATAGCTAAAAACCAAACTTTTGTGGACTTTCCCAACTCTGACATTTGGAAAATCTTTGCCCTCTTATAAATATATAATGAAGTTCAACCAATCGATAGAGTTGACTTGTAAGCAGCTGAACGAACATTGCACTATTTAATATTTAAATTGCTTAAAGTTGCTTAAGAAATGCCAGGACCACATAGCCCACCAGGACACCATGGCCCACATGGACCCGGCCATCACCCCGGACATGTGCCTGAACATGGCCATCAAACGCATCCGCCGCATCATCAGCCGCCAAAGCCTCATCACCATGGACCGCCAGGACATCCAGGATATCATACACATTAGATTTACGCATTTTATTTAAATAAAATTTAACTGAATTTAAAAAATATTTAATCAAATATCAAAACGTTTGACTAATATTTAAAAACGGTTCGAAGCGTCGTTTACTTTTGGTAGTTTTCATTTATCATTCACATTGAAAAAGTCCCGTTTGGGGTAATATTTCCAACACAGAGAGAAGACACTGAGCCCTCCATGACAAACGTTTCTTTTTTAAAAACGTTGCTAATAAAAATTAAATATTATGAACTAGCTGGCTCAATAGGCAAACAAAAGATTTGGATGACATATACGCCTAGATAAGATAACACTTATCTATAGACTATAAAAAATACTAACATTTGGCATAATATAAAACTTCTGCACCTAGCCAAACGAAATTCAGTTGAGCAAAATAACTTTTGGGGAACAGAATTCGAACTAATTGAAGACAAATTATTTGCAAATTGCAATGCATCATCACAATCCGCCGTCGCACCACCCTGGACCGCCGCCGCCGCACCACCATGGACCCCCACCGCACCACCATGGACCCCCACCGCACCATCATGGATCTCCTCCACATCATCATGGGCCTCCTCCACATCATCACAGCCCACCGCCGCACCACCATGGACCGCCACACCACCCACCTCAGTATGTGCCGCCACCACATTACGGCTGCCCTCCGCCCCATCATCATGGTCCGTGCCCGCAACCACGCTAAGATGCAATATCTAGTATGTGAATTCTTTTGGCACTGTGTTGTCAAATATAATTTATTTATGCTCAATTAAGTTTTACACATCTCTACTATGTATATGTAATTGTTTTTCATAATTTAAAAATGTAAATAATATCAAGGCAAATAATATATATAATTAACAAAAAATCATTTTAAAATTGTTTCTATTTTTTTTATGATTGTTTCTAATTTTTTTCATTTTTTAAAATTTCTATAAATAAATATAAAGACCGAAGCAAATACGGAAACGATTCTTTTTATAAAATATTAAATATATATACATTCTATAAACATTATTCATTGTAAACATTTTTTA